TTTCGAGGATCATGATTAAAGGCTGCTAAGGTAACCAGGGGGTTGGCAAGTGGCAGCACGGTTTGGAAATCGAGATTGTGGGATTACGTCTCATAAGTGCGCGTGGTGGTAGTTCCCGAGAATTGGTTTCAATTCTTCAAGGTCGAGACTCGAACTAAGGAGTATAGGTCAACGACCTCAGAAGCGAAGGGCAATTGCTTGGGCCCAAAAAATATTATTTTGGGCCGAGTTAGATCTTTTTCGGCCCAGTGTTGGATAAGCCGAGTTTAGATTCATCCTCGGCCCAAAAGTCGTAAACATGTGTCATAAGGAAATATTCAGCCCATGGGCCGCGCGGTCGAAATTGGCCATATCCTATCGAAAATTGGAATGTAGACAAATCTTGTTATGAGAGGGAGTCTCGATGGGATCAGGATGCTGAGATTGAATACAGTCTGATAACGCGTTATGTTCGAAGTTCTAGTAGGAATATGATTGGTCGAGATAAAGTTGAATCATAAGAAGGAGTTCTAATCCGGGAGTGATTGAGATTCAATACAGGTTGGCTGCTATAAATAGGGAGTGAAGATATCAACACAAGCCCCTTCCAATTCAACACACAACTGCCCTGCGTAAATTCTCTCAACAACCTTGAGATTTTTTCTTTTTTCTTTTCGCCAACACACCTTCAGTTTGGATACACAGCACTGTGAAGGCAACCAGTGATATCTTCAGTTAGCATAAACAACACTGTCACCGTAGAATCAGCCGATCTCGCAACATCTTCAGTTGGCATAAATAGCACTGCGTCGAGGGCAACTGGTTATCTATCCAAGTCTCAGTCGAGAAGGATTTTCGAATCCTTATTGGTCGAAGTCATCTCATCAGCCTTCTCGGTGAAGTAAGGTGTTACAGTTTATTGGGCTCGACACATTGCACGTCGAGTTATTTTATGATTGGATATTCTTAAGTGAGATTTAGAGTTCAGCATTTCGATGGCCGAACCATGTTTACTGTTAAGACTTATATCCGCTTTGAGTATATGTGCCCCTACACTCTGGTGTCGATTCGGTGTGAGTTTATTTTGACGAATACCATCACTGTGACCGAATCCGACGACGACGATTTGTGAACTTCGTAAGAATAGTAGCCTTGTCTTCAGGTTCGAGAACCTAAGAGGCCGAGACGTGTTCCTTCCTTGGTCGCAATTGCAAGACGAAGTCAGCCGCACGCTCAACGCAACGTCAACACATTTACTCATCAGCCGAGCTCGGCAGTCGAGTTGGCATGCCCGATTCAACCCAAAGACGTAGTTAGCTCATAGATTACTCGGCATGCGCGCCACGTAGGCTTGGTAGTTTTTAGGGTCAACAAATATTGGAGAAAAAAATCAAAATATTGATTTAGAATTTTAGGGTTTTGAGAATTTTGGGGAAATAGAGATTAGGTGAACATGTAAAAATGGGGGCATCGGGATGTTGAAAGTAGGATGGGACTATGGGGGACGTGCTGGGGGCCTAAGGAGTTAAAATAACAAAGGGACTAACGACAGCGTTTTGCCCATTGTTTTAATTTTATGTTTTTTTAAAAAATTAATACAAATTGCCAAAATGAGCGTTTTGGGCCATGGTTGAAAAAAGGAACATTTCTTTCTTCTTTGCGCAGTCGTCTTCTTGGTGAAGAAGCTGTCGCGGCAGCTTGCAAAGGCCTTATTCTTCCGGAATGAAGGGTCCCCGGAAAATTTCAAGCAAATATTTAAGGTCGCTGATGGGTCCTGTGACCTCTCAGGTCGCTAAATAGATCCGCCACTACTGATGAGTTGGGTTAGCGATGAATTTGAATTTTATCTGGGTGTTGTATATTAGTGATCTTAGTGATCTTTATAATTTTTTCTACTTATCGTATATTATATAGTTAAAAATTATTTTTAATTTTTTATTTACGGTTACAGATAAAAAATATCTAATAAAAATTGATGGTATAAATTTGTGAGGATGCGAAGGATTTTCATCCGTACCAAACGGTACCTTGGGGACTTGGGTTGGTGGTTACCGAGGGTAAAATCCTAAATCACCTTTTCCATCGAATACGAATAAATATTGAATTTCAGAAAATCTCTGAAGCAGAACACCGCGTAAAGAAGAGAGAGAGAGAGAGAAGCAGTAGATCTGTAGTCTTTTGGTTGCAGAGATATTTCTGGTGCTCTCAATCAATACAAAGAAAAACAAATAAAAAGCCAAAATAATAAGGAGAGAGAAGGAAGTCTACAGGCCAGACCCAGAGCATAGAGGACCAGGAACTCTCTCTCTTGTTGTTAATCCCATGCTCTCTCTTCTCTTCTTCCTAAATTCCTTCTTCCCCTTTGGTCTTCTGCCCTTTTCTCAATTATGCTTCTTCTTTCTCGTCTGCTCTCTAAAAAGTTAAACTAGATAAATTATATACATAACATTATTGTGCTGCTTTTTATGATCTGTTATATTTCTGTGAGTTTGAATTGAGAAATGGGAACTGGTTGGAGGCGAGCTTTCTGCACTACAATCCCTCGAGATCCAGCCGAAGAATCCACACTCTCTGAAAAGATAAGTCCCAGCCCAAGTACCACTCCCAGAAGCTGTACCAGGCTCGGTTTCTTCTCCAGTGGCAGCTATCCTACCACCTCGAGATTGCAAACCCAGCAGCAAACCCAGGTTGGCGACCATGAAAATCCCAGAAAACTTGAGTGCAAAACCAGTACTCCAAACCGTAGTAGAACGTCGTTTCTCTCGAGCTCCAACCCAACTTCTCCTCGATCCCCTTTCAAGCTCTCCCTCTTCCGAAACAGCTTCAAATTTCGGGTAATCAACTCTTATGTTAATGATTAATCCAACCATTAATTCGTTAATCAGTTTATTACCCAGTAAATTGAAATTTGTTTTCATTTTGACGTGTTTTTTAACTTTTACAGAGCAGCTGCAGGATATGCTTGAACAGCGTCAAAACCGGCCAAAGCACCGCCATTTACACGGCAGAGTGCAGCCACTCCTTTCACTTCCCTTGCATAGCTATCCATGTCCGCAGCCATGGCAAACTCGTCTGCCCCGTCTGCACTCCACCTGGAAAGACGTCCCTCTCCTCGCCATCCACCAAAACCTCAACAACAACAACGCCGCCCAGAACGACGTCATCCGAAGCCAAACCACCCCAAAGCAGAAACCCAAATCCAAGCCCGCCGAGGCCGACAAAAAGATAGTAATGGAGTCCACATCATCACCGAGAGCCTCGTCGAAGCCATTGTACGACGACGACGAGTCTCTTCTCTCTCCGACGTCTCGGATCATCCCCATCCCAGAAGCCGACGACGAGGAGGCAGAAGACGAGGCCGTCGCAGACCCCGAGACCGACGACGTCCAAGAGTTCCAGGGTTTTTTCGTCAATCCCAACTCTTCATCTTCCGATGCCCAGACCAACTGCAGAGATTTTAAAACCAATAATAAAGTTCAGGTGCGGATTTTGCCCGAATCCGCTTTGCTCTTTTCGGGTCGGGGCTCCGATACTTATGTCGTGGCGTTGCGGGTCAAGGCACCACCGCCGCCGATTTTAAACCCTTCGCATCGCGCGCCGATCGATTTGGTAACGGTGCTCGACGTCAGCGGAAGCATGACCGGCGCGAAGCTCCAGATGTTGAAACGCGCCATGCGTTTGGTCATTTCATCGCTCGGCTCCAACGACCGGCTTTCGATTGTCGCTTTTTCCGCTTCGACGAAACGGTTGTTGTCGTTGAAGAGAATGACGGCCCATGGTCAACGTTTGGCTAGAAGGGTCGTTGACCGGCTTGCATGCGGCCAAGGTTCGAGTGTGGGTGACGCCTTGAGGAAGGCGACTAAGGTGCTTGATGATCGGAGGGAGAAGAATCCAGTGGCCAGTGTCATGCTCTTATCCGACGGTCATGATGAGAGGGTGAAAACATCGGGCAATCGTCGTCAAAGTTCAAGCCAAGTATCGTCCACCCGGTTCGCTCACATTGAAATCCCAGTTCATGATTTCGGGTTCCGCGAAACCGGCGGCGTTGGCCAGGAGCCGGCTGAGGACGCCTTTGCCAAATGCGTTGGTGGAATAGTGAGTGTGGTGGTGCAGGACTTGAGAATTCAGCTGGGCTTTGATTCCGGCTCGGCTCCCGCGGAGATATCAGCTATATATTCGTGCAATGGTGGGCCAGCAGTGCACGGCTCAGCTTCTGTTCGGCTCGGCGACTTATACGCTGAGGAGGAGTGGGAGCTTCTTGTGGAGTTGCGAGTTCCACGTGCTCCTAGAGCTCGTGGACCCCAAACTGTAATGTCCGCCCGGTGTCTCTACAAGGATCCTGCTACTCAGGAGACAGTGCATGGCAGAAAACAGGCACTGTTAGTACCTCTCGCGGATGCCGTGAGATCTTCGTCGTGTCCGAAGATCGAACGGTTGAGAGGGCTGTTTATTACAACCCGCGCCGTAGCCGAGTCACGGAGATTGGTTGAGCACAATGACTACCCTAGTGCGCATCATTTGCTTGCGTCGGCTCGGGCTCTGCTCATGAAATCCAGCTCAGTATCGACTGACGAGTACGTGCGCGTCTTGGAAGCTGAGCTGTCAGAGCTGCATTGGAGAAGACAGCAGAAGATCATGGAGGCGGAACAGCAGATGATGATGATCCAACGGTGGAGAGGCGGTGGTGAGAGGGACGAGGCGGTGACAGCGGTTTTGGATGAAAATGAGGAGCCCCTCACACCGACTTCGGCTTGGAGAGCGGCTGAGAAGCTGGCTAAGGTGGCTATGATGAAGAAATCGCTTAATAGAGTTGGCGACTTGCACGGCTTTGAAAATGCTAGGTTTTAATTCTTATTTTAGAGGGAAATTAAAGCAACATTTAAAAAAAAAAATAATTGATAGGGACAAGGCCGGTTCTAGTTGGGGCCCTGATTGCTCTGCCCCCAATAAAACCCACACCCAGCATCAGTAGGCATCCAAAAATGGTACTAAGTTTTGTCCTAAGCCTCCTCTACTAATCGATGCCGACATTGCCGATGGTACATTCAACTTCAGTTTGTGATTGTTGTGTTTTTTACAGAAATGATTTTTGCAGTTTAAGAACAATCAGCGGTAAAGTAAAGAAGATGAGCGTTTGGTTAAATGTAACTTGAAAGTGTTGTGAGTTTAAAAAGCAGTATAAAAGCATTTGGTAAAATTTAATGTAAAGGTGATATAATTAGTTGCATACAATGACAGAATGGACATAGTAGTAGGAGTGGGTGCGACAACAGTAGCAGCGGGGATAATGGTGGTAATGGTGGTGGGGGTAGTGGTTGCAATGGTGGTGATGGTAGCATAAATGGTGGACGTGCAGTGGTGGTGCTAATTATAGTGGGATATGGTGGTTGGGGTGCAGAGGTAACAATATTGGTAGGGGTGTGCTTTTTACAAAAATTGATTATGCTATATTTTGAGAATAATCAGATGTAAAGTAAGACAGATAAGCGTTTGGTTAACCGTATTTTAAAAGTGATGTGAGTTTAAAAAGTAGTGTAAGAGCGTTTGGTAAAATTTAATGTAAAATTGATATAATTAATTGTATGCAATGATAAGTAATAGGAGTGGTGCGATGACAGTAGTGGCAAGGACTATGGTGGTAATGGTGGTGGCGGTGGCGGTTGCCGTGGTGGTGCTAATAGTGAGATATTGTGGTTGGGGTGCAGAGGTAACAATTGTGACAGTGGCGGTTGCGGTGGCAATAGTGGCGGTTGCTGTTATGGTGGTGACGGTGGTGGAAATGATGGTGGTGACAATAGTGATAATGGAGGTTGTGGTTGCAGTGACAATGGTGGGGGTTGCGGTTGTGGTGGTGGAGGTGGCGGTGGTGGTAATGATGGTGGTGACAATGGTGTAATGGCGGTTGTTTTTGTGGTTACAGTAGTGGAGGTTGTGGGTTTGGTGGTGCAGTGACAACAATCATGGTCTGAGGTTGTAGCAGTCACTTTATTCTCTAAGAGATAAAATGTGTGTAGAAGAGTAAATTTGTTGTTTTCAAAAGATTAATGAAGGTATTACAATAATTGAAAATATTTATTAAAGGCTCAAGTCAGCTTTTTATTAAAGCAACTCTAAAAAGCAATCTACAAGCTGCTTTTAAAAGTTGTTGTCCGAAGAACATTATTTTTAAAATAAGCAGGATATTTTACTTTTACCAAACACTTTTTTACTGCTTAACTTTAAAGTGAAGCAGCTTTTGGTGAAAAAAGCAATACCAAATGGGGTCTAAGTTATCTAGAATTGTAGTAGAAGTAAGGTTCTAAAAGGCGCTAAGTGCTAGTCGGGTGGCGGGATGGAGCCTAGCGCCTAAGCCGCTAGGCGGATTTAAATAAATTATTATATTTCGTGTAAATAAGTGTTTTTCTACATAAAATATATGTAATTAAATTATAAATTACAAAATAGAATGACATTTATTATGAAGTATTAGAATATAATGAAAACATGAGAAACAAGCATATAATGTGTGTCCATTTAAGTATCCAATAGGTCTTTTACAATTTACTGAAAAAAAATAAAATCAAAATGAAAGTTATTTATTTTTTGTCTAAGTAAGTCGCAACCTAGGCGGGTTTGGTGGGTGCCTACGCAGTATAGGCGGGCGCCTCAATAGGTTTAGGTGCCATTTCTTAACGTTCAAACGCCTAGGCATTAATCGGAGCGGTGACCAACTGCCTAGCCTCTAAGCTGGGCCTAGGCGGCGCTAGGCAAAGATTTTTAGAATAGTGAGTAGAAGTGTGGTTGATTTCATATATACTTGTTTACTTATGCACTTAAATCGGGAATTGAAACCAAATTGAAATTGTTGATGTAAAAAATCAGTGAGACTTTAGAACAATGTAAAGTGTCAAGTTTGTGGCCTTTGCAAGGTTACTCCAATCACCTAGTGAGGATAATATGTAAAGAGATGGAGCTAGGAAAGCAAACACAAGATGTACGTGGTTCATAAGTTGGCCTACGTCCACGGGTAGAGGAGTTCTCATTAATAGTGAAGAGTTTACACAATACATAGGTTCAAGTATAATCATTATTGGTGAGTTCTATTGATGAGTTTAAGGTAATAATGACATTAGGGACTCATTGTAGGAGAATGGTCTACCTTTATTGTTGAGAAGAGTTGCTCGCTTTCGTTCGTGGTCGATTGGGGACTTTAGGAGCTTTATTTGGACGTTAACATGTGTCCCGTTGTGATTAGTCTCATGGTTGGAGAGAAACTCTAATGCTTCAGCAGGGGTACCTCACCACGAGTTCTTCAGAAGGTCCTTGAAAGTATGAAATTGACCGGTGCTTGATAGATTAGGAATTAGTGAAGTATAATAGAAACAGAAATCAAGTTGATTATCAAATTACCCTAATTACATTAAGATTTTGATACCTCGGTGAAACCTTTGTATATTTCAGGATTGAACTTGGCTTGCGTCCTAACATCGTCATGAATATAATAAAGGATTGTAACGCTGTTTCAATCGTACGATTTGGTTTGAACAAAATTGGTTCACCATCCCACTGCGTTCATCGAAACACGAGTATAGGCGTGCAACCGGAGGTAAACCACAAGGTTTGAGATCCTGTAGTATAAATAAAGCTAGGATCTAATAGTTTTCTAACTTAGGAATTCTCTTTTTAATTTGAACTTTTGAAAAAAATAAGTTGCTGAACTTAGGCTAGCTAGATTAAAATGTCAACTGCAGATGACGCTGTATCATAGCAACGAAAAATAATCTCGCTTATGCATCTTGGTGTGGATTTGATCTTTATTAATTTCTCTTCCTCCTACCAACTAACTATTGAAGTTAGTAATGCTATCACTACAAAAATAACAAGAACAACAACGAACCAACCTTATCCAACTAACTAGGGGTGAGCACAGTTTGGTTCGGTGCCGTTTTGGGTGAAACCAAAACCAAGACCTCAACCAAAATTTTTTGCAATTTGGTTCGGTGCGGTTTTGAAGCTTGAACTGAAATGGAATCAAATCATTTAGTTGTGTTAGGAGCGGTTTCAAATTAACGGTTTTGCTTTCAGTTTAAAACCATTTACAAACTAAATGCTTTTTTCCATTAATACGACGCAATTGAAAAAAAAATTAATGATCACCATCCTCAAATTTAACTTGAAATAAACATTAATGTTGTCATATAGATACTTACGCTTTATATTGTAAATTTATATCACCGTCTGTTTAGATAAGCATCAATTTGACTGATGAAATAATTACACAATAGTGTATATATATCATGTGTTGTTTAATATATATATATATACACACACATATACAGTGGCAGAGCCACATGGAGACCAAGATGGGCACGGGCCTATCCTGAAATATTAGTTTATATACCTTATCTGTTGGTTTTGTAACTAAAGAATCTGCGGCTTGGTGGTTGAAGGGGTTTTTGTGTTCCTGCACTTCAAGGGTTCAAAATTTGTTGGTGAACCTCCTTCAAGTTCTTTATCAGCAATTATTTTTTTTGGTTAGTTGATACAGAACAAGGTTAATTTATGTTGAAGAAAAATCTTATAATAATAGTATTGAGCCATGATTTTAAATTTTTGTTTGAAATTAATGTTAACTTTATTGTTAATCTCGTAACAAGTTTTGTTTTTATGATATAATTAAATTTGTTGGTGAACCTCCTTCAAGTTCTTTATCAGCAATTATTTTTTTGGTTAGTTGATACAGAACAAGGTTAATTTATGTTGAAGAAAAATCTCATAATAATAGCATTGAGCCATGATTTTAAATTTTTGTTTGAAATTAATGTTAACTTTATTGTTAATCTCGTTACAAGTTTTGTTTTTATGATATAATTATTTTAATACTAAATTTTTCACACATGTTAAAGATCTACCAGCCTTTTTGATTAAAAATTTTCATGCCAATAACAAAAAGGAACCTTTAATTTTCTCTCATTAGTTATATTGCTATATTTTTTGTCTCATTTTGTTTATAGGATTTAAAGGCTCTTCCTAGTTTGAATTCCTGGCTCCGCCACTGTACACACACACCTTTTGTTGTTCTGCAGTTTGATGATCAGTCTTTTGATTTTTCTGGCGTTGCATCAGTGTCACAAGGTGCACCTGCAACGCCTGGTAATTAGTGTTCATCTCATGAACTGCACCTTTTAATCGTTGATTTTCTACGTTCTTACGGCCTAATTCAGCTTGAAGAACTGCCAACTGCACCCAAGATATTATATATTTTCACTTAAATATCGACCTAATTTAAGATCAAAATAGTTTATTATTCGAAACACTTGCGTAAAAAATGTATTAGAGAATATAGTAGTAGGAATATCACCATATCGTATCGATTTTTCAAAGCTGAGAAGCAAAAACACTGACTAAATATTTCATGTAGATATACCTCATTTGTTCTATGCTTGTCTTCCATATATATGAGGCCCTTACAACCCAACAGCCAATGGTATTAAGCTAAATATTTATTTAATTTTTGCGATGCGTGCGTTTCGGTTTCAGTAGGATTTTAGATATTCAAAACCAAAATCAAACAGTTTTTCTCAACTGCGGTTCAATTTCAAACCAAAATCATTTCAAAGCTGCAAAAATCAAACCGTTCGGTGTAGTTCGATTTAGTTCAAGTTTCGGTTCCAAGTGTCCATCCCTACCATTAAGTAGGATCGGCTGTATGAATCATAGAACACCAGTGCGCTCGGTTTTGCACCAAGTCTTCCGTTTACTCCAAGTACTCCATATATTTTCTTATAGTCTGTTTCAAAATCTTGTTAGATCTTTTTCTATCCCTTTTGTCTTGAACCTCTTTCTCACTAATGCTACCACTCTACTAAAAAAACATTATGATCGACTGAACAAATTCATACCGATATATAATATTACTTTCAGCAAGGCATTTTAGTATAGTAGATGGATTACTGTAGAAAGTAATGAAAATAATTCAAAATTTCTGGTCACAACATTATTATTATTATTTATTAGTAACTATTATTATTATTTGAGGACTGGATTAGGGTCTTTGCAGCAGTACTCTAGTCTCTAACCCACTGTATGTCTGTTCAAGACGTTGCCGTCTGGATCAAGCACAAGGTACACACGGTTGCAACACAAATTTTCAAGTCGCACAACGCCTGGGGAAGTGTCACAACTGTAAACAGGCGGGGTTGTGTGATTATTTCTTGCACTTCCTTTGCAGGCTTTTCAACTATGTATATTTTCGACTAGCTTATGGTCTTCTTTTATATGAATTTGCTCCTCTTGTCATTTTATAATGCTATATTGTCAACAACATTAATTTACAGAGAAAAAGAATTAAAACCTAGGTGCAAGGGTCCATCATATCGACCTAACCCACAAATGCATGCATTTGTTCGTCTATAAATGGTAAAATTTTCAATTTGGATTTAGGAATTAAACAAATTCATGAACATACAAAATTATAGAGGATTTCTCTTCTAAAAAAAGCCAATGTGATTCATCTGAATCAATGTGAATTTAAATGGAAAATATTGTTAACAGTCTTCCCTCGTACACATCAAACCTCCTCAGCTAATCAGAATCAGAAGGTGCAGTCAAGTAGGACCATAGCTAAATTACAACACCCGAAGGTGAGTCCTACATTTATGTAGTCTGTCAGTACGCCGTGGGAATCCTCGTGGGCCACCAACACTGCTAACTAGAACCTGGAGGGGCGCAAAACAAAATTGAGTGGGTCAGTAAAACAAAGCTTTTTGAAAACATTTCAATTAATAACATTTCTAACCCCTCGTGAATAATATAAGCACTAACACCAGGGATGCAGGTTTGAGCTTTCAATACAATTCACATCACAATAAATTACATGATTAACATAAAACTCATCTGATACTCACCTATGCGTCCACAACACCATTTCACATATATATGCATCAATTACTAATTCATATAATTCATAATAT